GACTCGAAGATATGGTTTTCATATTTGTACGCGAAATCAGTCTACTGGATCTATTTTACTTTCCATCGTATCTCGTGCGAGGAACGTGCATCGAAAATTGCGATAAATTTTCGTTTAACGATCGATGGTGTAATATACGATTCCGGGAAAGGTGACTGGAGGGCGTTTCATCGGTGGTGCTCGAATATCTAGGGCTTATCGAGCGAGACGACGAGCGGCAGGATTACGACCGAATTCATAAATCATAACGTCATTGCTATTTGTGTAGAACGAGGCGCAAAAAAAAAAAAATATTCGACGCAATCGACGACCACTTCAACGCGGTATTTTTCTTCGAAACAATATCTGATAGCCGTATCGAGTTTTATCCTCGAATTTGTGACGTCGATCGAAGGCAGAATTCAATAAAATCTTGCTCGATGAACATGCCCATAAGTCCAACGGGTATATTTTTTATCTCTTCGTTGCAAAATGTTTTAATCTATCGTTAAAATCCTTATTTTCGCGAAAAGGTAACTTCGAAACCGTTCACGTGGTTGTGTATGTCAAATGTTTTGAAGGAAAACAGTTCCTTTGGCGGAAAAATGGAGTGTAAATATTGTTTCAAGAGTGTATCTTTGCATTGCTCGAGATTAGATTATAATAAGGACACAGAGATTTACCGGTAGAACAATAGAGATTAATCTATACTCTTGATAATACTCTCATGCAGATATAGTGCAAAATATACAAATTTTTATCTTGCATGGAGAGTTAGTACGCTAATTCGTACAATGTAATCGACTCTTTTGTTCAAGTTATCATCAGAAAAATAGAACAAAAGACCCGTTTCGACTAAAATGGGCCAAGAACTTATTGCCTCCCTGCTACTAGCGCCGCCACTGGAGAAACAACGAAGCATAACAGTTTGGTCCACTGTACAAAACTTCTAATTCATTCTAATACGGGAACGTATTGATCGAGTGATTAAAATGATTGACAAAAATTCAGAATTGCAATGGGTGACCTGGGCACTAAAAACACTTGAGCACGCTACTGTATCTGGATGCTCCGATCCTCTGTATTGAACCAACAGCGTACACGTGTCTTTCACAACAAGTAGTCGATCTTTCGTCATCGATTAACCATCCGGGAGATGACAAAGCCTCGAGCAACAAAGACACGAAAGACTTCGACAGGAGACGAGGCGTCAGAGTCTACGACAACGTTGGAGGATGGGTTCATCCGTGGCAGGAAGTACGAAATTGGCCAGGAAATACGGTGAACGCACCGGAAGGGCCGAGACGAACCATAAGACAGGCTGACCAGGTGAAATCGGAGCCGTATTATGATCGGGGCTCGTCCCGAGTCCGCTCGAAAGGGACACCACCTACTATTGACAATGAAAGCTTGGACAAACGTACTACCAGCGTGGCAACGGAGTGGACAAGCTCGTGAAAAAAAGAAGGACGCGACGAGGCCTACCAAGTTCAAACGATATGACGACATATCTATATTTGGTCGGCTAACTAGCGTTTTACTTCTTCTTTTCGGTGGCAACCATCGCCACGTTGGAATTCATTTCCATTCTGGACTCCATTATCGAGCGACGATCAACCAATATTCATGAAATTTGTCAGTTGAAGCTAAATTAACCCATTTCATGTACGACCACTTTGAATTATCGAAAGTGCTTACAATTATAGAAACATATTTGTTTCGTAACAACTTTGGGGAAACAGAAAATCTTTCGATTGCGTTCCTTCCTTCCGCGTTCCCCCTCCGCCATTCCTCAAATTAACAATTCGCGTGCGAATTAACGAAATCTGCCGAGTAATTTCGAGGAAGGCGTAATCTTTTTACGATAGTACGTCCCGAGCCCTTCATTAATCCGGAATAACAGTTCCTGGCCGGAAACATTTGTTCGTTATGGGAAGTGGAACAGCGCCTCTGCTATGTGAATGAACAGAAGACGCTAAAGTGTGTATAGCGCGGTAGCAAATTACGGCCAGACTTAGAACGGGGTTCTCACAAAGAGACGAGCGAGGAAAAAACGTTGTAAAAATAAATACAGCGTCCGTTCGTTGGAATTTACGGGCTACGAACGAACTTGGACGGAACAGGAGCTGTACTTAACAAGTACGTGTAAAAATCTCATGCGCATGTGTTCTTAAAAATTAAAATTAAGAATTGAGGATATTCCTTCGCGACTTAATCTTAAACCGCGTCGTGAGGAGTTATTTACGTGTTCGTATCCTATTTTAGAAATGAAATCACACGTCGATGAATTTTATTGCCGTGACCTCATTAATAATCCAAATGAGTCAGACAATTGATAAACGGATTGGTGACAAACAGCCACGATACAAAAATGCACTCGGATGGCTCGTTTACGTAATTATTGTGACACTGTGTACTCGTCCGCTATCACGTTATCATGCCTTGCATGAATTATTTAAGCTCCCAATCGAAAAACTAACCTAAAAGCTCTTTAATCTACTGTTATCCAAAATGGAGGATGCGTACACCATTTCTAGAGAACGTGGTGTCTTGCAATCCAAAAAGGGGATGGAGATAAAATTGTTTAAACATTTCCTCGTATCGATAGATTCAATATACGTCATCGACTTTTGAACCCACCGTTTGTCTCGTGTTCAGACATTTTCTTCCAATTTTAATGGACGATCCTCGAAAAAGTTTGTCATTTTTCTGTTTAAAGATAACATCGAGACGCTCGGTTATTTACATAACTGCGGAACGTGATCATTCGCGGCACGGCGGTTCGTTAATCCAGATGACATCACTGATTTCGCAGAAGTTTGCGCACGACGCCGACGTTTAATTTCAATTTCCGAGCGTCATTAAATTGTAAGCCCGGCGAAAAAAAGACGCCGACGGTACTTTTCGTTGAACTCGCGGTGGTCGCCGTACGAGAAGGTTGTCACGTGTGCCGGAGTATTTCCGGTTCGCGACTTTGCTCCCTTCTCGCTAAATATATACACAGCGATGACTGGCTGTTCTCGCGCGATTTATGAATGATTGCAATTTCATGAATAAATAATGATAGCGCAATACATCAAACAACACACGCGCGTTGTAAGTACTCATCGCATAGATTCATCCAATATATTTAAAAATGTCTTTAATTTGTAAATCGAATGATTGAAAATGCGTATTCTAATGGAAACTGTATTTCGAATTTGAAAAGATCCGTTAAAAACTGGCGCCAATGGCGCAACGTTCGCACAATCGCTCGTTTATTGCCAACTTCGTAACCGTTGGGAGTTCTTGCGCGGTCAGGACACAACGACCTCTCTGTTGGCCAGAGAAAAACACTTATTACGATAATCGCGAGAGGTATGATTATTTTCCGCGACCTTTCGCACCGTGTCACTGGCACGCGGGTCGAATGTTGATACTATCGTTCACCCTAGGACGTTCTATCGATCGTTTTTGAACAAACTGATAACGGCGAGTCGTTCGACGGCGTTCGTTTGCACGAGGATCATCGTCATTAATTACGAGGCGCGAGTGAGTCATTCGGTTTCCTGCGGACGTTAATTGTAAAATTATAACTTTCACGGAACAGATTGAGCAACGAGTTATATTATGCAATTATCCGCGTTCTCGATCTCACGAAACCAGAAACGAGATAAACGAATTTCGTTGCAAATCGTTTGCGCGAACCGCCCATTAAAACAGGTTTTTTGAGGCCAACAGGTACCCACTTACAGTGTCACGGAAATTTTAGACTCCGGTGTTGTGACCACCTATACTTACGTTTTATTTCGACGAGGAACTTTAAAACGCCACACGCTTCACTGAGGAAACTGTTTACAAACAAAACAAATTGGACGGCCCTAAGAAAATTTTTATTCTTTATTGTTGAATCTTATTTTTATATACCCTCCTAGTCAGGAGAAAGAAAAGTTCACGAGGAACCGGCAAAAATTTCAACCGGTCAAGGTCACAGACTACCCCCACTCCATCTATCGTATATTTCTTGCACTTCCAAAGTTCTGCAACGACTAAACTGTATAGTTTCCCATATAGAATCGTGGGAAATATATTTTTATATTCTATTAAGATAATAATTCTCCAGGACTAGTTCACAACGGGAAGGATTCAGTCAGAACATAATCCTTATCCCTTATTAAATATTTCCTAGTTAGAATCCCTCATAGTTACAAGACTACTGCAAGAAACCAGGGGACACTTAGGATCCCTAGTCTTCTCTGAATGAAACGTATTATTTCGCGAAAAATACTTACAACCCGACTATATACTACACGCTATCTACTAGTTCGCATTCTGATCCACGCCTCGATGTGTAGCTTGCGGTTCCTTTTGTAAATTTCGCGTTAATAGCCTCCCCGCTACTCCCACGCGCCACATTAGTTCTTCATTCTTGAGTCAGGCGCTCGAATTCGCGGGGGGATTCACAATGACGATATGAATACAATGGACCGGGGATCATCCCGGACGCTCGGGAAGTGGGTGATTTGAATTTCGATGAATAGAAGGCTGTCTCGTCGTGCAGAAGTTGTCGATACCTTCGTGACAAGAGATGTATAGGCCAATGGTTCTTAACCTCCTTTTTCTATCGTTCCCTTTCCTAAAATGACGCCTTAAAGCGTTAGTTAACCTAGTTACCATAGTAGTTACACTAGCTAATATATTACCATATTAGTTAGACATGGTTCAGTGAGTTAATTAGAACGTGAGATGTACCAATATAATAAAACTATACCCAATACGTCTTGAGAAACATCCTAGAAACTTGCACAGAGTTTGTAAATAATGTATAGTGAGCTATTGAAACAAAAGTAGTAACAAGCTTTCAATTTTCAAGTTAGACTTCGAACCAGAGTTCACTCTGAAGTTTAAAAGAATCTTGAAAGTGTTCGTTATCCGCAAGGCGTACGAATATTAAGTATCGATTAATTTAATACAGAACAGTTTAGCGTTTTCTCGTTCTTGATTACAACGCTTCTAGAAGTGGATGCCAGAGGTCGCTACTTGCAAAGCGGTCATCACCAATTAGTTTGGTGATTAAATGACGCTTGGAATATGAGTTTATGTGTAACTAGTTATTAAAAACAATCGTTCGAGGTGAATTGACATTGTTTAGTCGTCACGTTTCATTGGCATTTAACATCTACAGAATTCTGTGCTAAAACAACGATGAGACTGGACGATATAACCTATAAAATGGGGGTTTGTTTGTCAATACGGTAACAGTTTTAACGGCTGTAAAAAATCACAAGAATTTAAGGAACAGTTATCGGACAAAGCATAGTGTAGTTTACGTTTATGCTTGTTTGATTAATTGGTATGCCACAAGAAGGAATATTGCAAGTAGGTTGCTATGCATTTGAATCCAGCATCAGTTGACTACTCATTTTTGAGTGTTGTAATGTTTGTTACAGAATACTGTGTTCAATACACGTTTGAAATTTCTAAGCATGTCAGGGAAAAGGAAAAAAGTTACAGTGACCATGGAAAAGAAGCTAGAAGCTCTGTTTCGAATCGATAAAGGTGAGCCAATGAAGAGTGTTGCTATTGATTTTGGAGTAGGAACATCCACTGTTTCTGACTGGAAAAAGAATAGAAAAGAAATTGAGAACTTTTGTGCCAAGATGGTTACCAGGGACAGTTTAGGTAACAGGGGGACAGTTAAGAAAGCAAAGAATGTTACACTTGATGAAGCCCTCTACATGTGGTACATTCAAGAACGTGAAAAAGGTGCCCCAATATCTGGGCCTATGTTAAGGAAAAAGGCTCTCAGTCTTAACAATAATTTAGGTGGTGATCCCACTTTTACTGCAAGCGTGGGATGGCTAGGGAGATGGAAAGCACGCCATGGGATCAAACTTACTCTTTCCTGTGAAAATTTATTGGGGGATACCACTCTAAATAATAATGGTGATCATCAGCTGCTATTGGATGACAATCTTGTGACAGTGTGTCTGTCCACGCAAGATGAAGTGGAAATGAAAGAGGAAGGGGAAGAGTTAGCAAGCTTGAACCATACTGAGGCTGTAGAAATGCTTCAAAAATTGATAAAATACTTTGAGCATCAAAGTGAAACTTTAGGAAGTGAACTAATGACACTGAAGCACCTACACGACCGTGTATCAAAAAAGTGTCTATTGACTTTGAAACAGGAACCAACTAGAGATTTTGTTAAATAATATTTACCATTGTACAGTTATAAAATGCATAATTTCCCTATCACCGATCTTGCCATTGTAAATAAATTATGTAAATATATATTCCTTCGTACTTGTACGTGTGCAAGAACAAATTTTTTTAGGTTATCTTCGTCAGAGTTACATATGAAAAAATACCCCTAATTTATACCTTTGGCAATAGAACTAAAAGAAACAGATATTTTCGCCAAAAAGTTACTCATAAAACCCCCTAATTGCCGTAGTTAAATTTACTGGTGTTTACTTAAGTTACCCACGGTAAACTTGCAATTTACGACTTCAAGATTAGATTTCAAATTGCTAAACATTACTATCTTATCTACGCTTATTTTCACACGTTACATATTCAATGTTTTCTACAATATTCATTGTTCTTGGCCTGACGCGTAAGGTGAGTAAAATTTGGCCTTAAATTTTCTAAATAGTATATGAAAATTTACGTAATAATATAAGCTTTGTATATGGTTGATCAACACGGCAAAACAAAGTCCTGTAAATTGTACAGATTTTTGAAAAATAAAGCACGCAAGTCGAATGAGTTTTAATGGCCTTCTAAACATTACTCTCACCTGTTTACAGCCACCGTCTTGCCCATCAGGCTCATTTGCATTTACATAACAGAAAAAAGGATACATCGGTTACCCCACTTTTCTCTTATTAATTTAATGACTTTAATAGTACGCAATTTAGAGGAAACTTCGTGTAAGCAACCGCTGAGCATCCTGCATCGAACCGTTTAATCTATTTCATGTAATCAAGCTATTTTCAATGAGCCGGTGATTCATTTGATGATGGCCATCCAATTACCTTACCGATAGGTGTCTAATTTAATAGATTTTCAGGGTGAACATCCTCCGCTCTATGCGTTCCAAGATTCCAGACTCGGGGGATGCACGGATCTCCTGGGAATTCCGGCAATTCCAATTTCCGCTTCGTCGCTCTGATTCGCTTGACGAACCCTAAAATGGCCGCCACTAACGGGCCATTGAATTTCAGTAAAATTGTGCACGCTCAGAAGCGAGGAAAACCCATCGTCGATGGAATCAACCGTTAGATTCTTGCAGATATAGAAATTCCATGATTTCCTCGACCGTAAACACCACTATTACATTGTAATACGACTTTTTTCCCCGTGCCGAGTATCATGGACTTAACAGAGAGTTCTGGGGAACCAGAAAAGTCATGTATATTGTGGGTTAAGTCTACCCTTATAGAGCTAGACAATAGTTAATCCCTTTAGATCTGTATGAGCACCTTTCTGAGGCTTCATATGACTACATTAGAGTCTTTCTAGCTTGTTTAGAGGATTATTCTGAGTTAGAAATGGTCTACACGCTGGAATAAACGCTAAATGTACTCTTTTACAGTGTTAGATCAAACTTCACGATCAGGCACACTGTAAATATGAAGTTTCTGGCTCGCACAAACTACCAAGTAGACTGGAAAAAGTCCAGAATTAGAAATCTTCGCGAAGTGAAATGGGTGGAGAAAAGTGAAATGAAACTTGAGCGTACAATTTTTTTAATTGATCAGAATTAGATGTACGAAATGATAGCGAATCGTTTCACCGTCAAGACACGAAATTTGTTGCTGAGGGCTTTAATGTCCAGGAAAGTTGGAAAATAACCTTGAACTATTCGGTTAAGGAACATAGCGTCTATCGTGCTCTGAATAAATTTCCACAGGCTTTTTTCTTCGGTTATTGTAATTATCAGTTGAATTTATACCTCAAAGCGGGCATTGAATAATGATTTCACGCCAACAAGCCAGAAAGGCGTTATGGGAGTGTTATGTGCCCAGCCAATTGAAAACTATTTATTCCTTTATCTAATCGCCATTCCTGCATTAATTACACGGAATCGCCGGCGTTACGAGCACTCATTCAATTATACCGTCTTCTCCCTTTCGATTCCCCCGTTCATTTTTCTAGCATCTGTCGGAAGGCATCCCTTAGCGTCGCCACGAACGAGCGAATTCGTTAACCCTGTTCTCGAGCCGCTCTGTAATGCATTCGACAATGATTCTCGTGACGTCAGAGGCGTGTAGAAAGTTGACAAGAAAAATCTACATTCCTGCATGCGTTCTGGCAGTTTTACATTCACCGTCGCGCCGCTGCCGCCGCGGCGGCCGTCTACTAGAAGAGTCCAGCCGCGTGTATGCGCCAGATAAAACTCCGTTCCTTCATATCGTATTCCGTCGACGCGTCCACGGGGGTCACGTACGGAAGACTTACAACTAATTACGGCGACGAGATGTCGTTAGAGATGTAGCGACGAATTTCACCCTCGTGACTCGTGCACCATTTCTTTTCGACGTTCCTTCACCCTTTTCCTCCTATTTTCGCAAGGAGGATTCGCTGCGTCGCTCATCGACACGAGGCGAACGTGTGCAAAACACCGAAAAGAAATGGGTCGATGCAACAAGTTACGGACTGATAACACTGATCAATAAATTGTAAACGATAGATAATAGATCGTATAATGATCAAGCTTTTCATTTATTTGTATGTACTGAAGTGAGAAATTATCGAGAAATAAATTATTTTTTGTCAAGGTCGTTTCAAGGTCATCCTGTGTTGTTCAAACAGCATGTTGTAATTTTTAGCTGATACGGAAACAAGACCACGCAATGAAGTTACGTACAGTAACCCTAGAAGAATTCAAGGTCACTGGACAGAAGATATTTGAATTTCGAAAGTCATTCCTGGGAAAAAAACAATTGCCCGTATTTTATATCCTCCCAACCGTGTAACATGAAAACTCATACTCGTGGAACACGAAATAGTATCAAGATCAAGGTCGAGAACTCGATTACAGTAAAAAGAAGGAAAAAATCTACCACTGACTTCCTCGTTGAATAAAACAGAGTTTTCAATCGTAACATGAAATATTTCGCGACAAACAGATACATATTTAACCGCCCGATCGAATGAACGTCATAAATAAATTGCCATGCGTTGGTTTCATCGATCGCCCATCATTCAAATGTATTACCCAACTGGCGCCACGTTTTTCCAACGGAATCAAAACTGTACTACGAATCTGTATTGAATGGCGAACAGGAAATTTGTAAAATCACCCAAAGAAGAATCTACTACCGGCCTGTATCGTTCCCTGTTCGTTCGCGTAATCTCCGAATCGAAGTCTCCCTGCAGAAACGCATCGAGACGCCCCCTACTCGGTTACGCTCGGAACAGGTTGACCGTAATGGCGACGCGAGTCGACACAATAACAACGCGCGCTGGGATTTTTCTCGTGGTCGTTCGTAAATCCACGATTGACGGAACGCGGGAGTACGCGTTAAGCCTTGAAGTCTGTAACCTGAGTCGTTCGTTCGCTCGTCTTGGGTTCCAGGACTCGCCAAGGATCTTTCCTCTCTTTCTTCCTCGTTCTATGCGCGCGCCGAGCGAATAAATGGCGGTAGTAGGGAGTCCCGAGAGCGGTCCAGCAACTCCCCAGAAAACGTGAGCTTGCGCGCGCACGCACGAGAAACATACGTTCTGCTGGTAGTACTCTAACTAACGTTGACTAGCGATGGAACCGATACAGTAATCTAAAGCTTCTTAATCCTTCCTTGCACACGTGCACAACACCTACCGTTCAAAGGTGTCTTCCCAATAAAAACGAACGTGCAATCATGCGAACAGCTTTGCTCGATAGTTAAGAATAATTAAACACGTGAAAGATCGACCTTGGGTCAGGCATGTCAACTCTATTCTGACCCAAGCATCATGATATTTTATGATAGACAATAATATTTTACCGACATATCTATCTTATTCAAAATTTGAGAAATTCAATATAGAATTGTTGTTTTTCAAAACTGGTTGAACTTAAACAGGTCGTGCAAATGGGTTTGTTAATTATGCAGCTGGCTGCCACTCGAGTCGATGGTTACACGAGCTGCAGAACCATAAACAATGGTGGGGGGTGATTACGTTGCTTGCATTCCTAATGCACATTGACGCAATAATCGAGGCAGTACTGTACCAACTTTTAGTTTTAGGCGCGCATCTTGGAAAGAATTTCTTTGAATCGTATCAGATACCTTCACCCCACGTATAGTCGACCAAGGGTGTCGAAAGCCTTTGTTGCACGTTATCGAATGGTCCATCGCGAGCGGAGTTTGATTTAGGGTCTTCGTCGATCCCTCATACTTAGCCACGACCTCTGCATTCGTTTCCCACTTTACGTTTGCAGATGATTCGTTCCCATCGCTAGGCTCGCCACTTCACGCACACGACTTTCGCCCGGGAGACGGTAAGAGGACGCGCATCGAGTGGCATCGTGAGAGGTAGGAGGGGAAAGGGTGAGTGGAGGGGAGTTGGCGGGAGGGGTAACGGTAGGGGTAAGAAAAACGGCGCGAGAAAGGGAGAAACGCGAAGGGAGGAAGCGAGAAAGAGAGAAAAAACGACATCCATTGAGAATTACGGTATTCATCGAGTAGAGGAACGGGCCAGCCGGGTCTGGAGGGGCTCATTAGAAACTCGAGGCAGTGGCGGGCTCGCGCGCGCGCGCGTAATATTATTTCCTCGTGGAACGCGGGGGCTAAGGCCGATCAAATGCCGGGTACCGTTCGGGAAAGGATCGAAGTCCGCTCCAATTTCACGTGCAATCGACGCCAGCGCCCCGTTATAATCGACGCTATCGTAGGGGGGGAGTTGCTCGACAGAGGAGGGGGGCTGAGGAAAACTCGACCGATACAGACCCCCTTTACACGGTTTTCCAGCTGTCGCGAACGACCTTTGCGGGCGATTGGCTCTCCTCCGCGAAGAATTCTTACCTCGTAACGGAATGAATGCGTGGAACCGAGAGATGACGCTAGTGGTGGGGGGGCCTCGAAGGGGAAAACTGTTACAAATTCGTTGTATAAATCAGCGATGCAAATTTTATGCATGACAAATTTGTGACTAATGCGAACTATTAAGTTCACTTTTTTTTCTCTGACAAATGAACACATCTGTCGAGAGTAATCTGATATTATTTTTCAAAGTATACGTTAATAGCTGAACGTCTTGTAATAACAAGACGTTCGAACACGTATGATTTACATATTCATAACGAAATCAGTATCTCGACACCTTGACTTTAAGGGTGGTTATGATCGATAGACGTACTTGGAACTATCCTAACCTCGAACATAACTTTGTTATTTGAATATTAAATGACCGTCAATCACTAACCCCTACACTTGGTCGCCACGTATGTTCCGGGTTTGTGAAACAAGTATTTATACTTTTACGTTGCTATAACCTCAAGGTCATCGGGCAATTAAAAATTGGAAGAATGTATAGAGAGTAATCTATTTAATTCGCAGCTCTTTCTCGGACCCCTATTAAAGTACGTGATTTGCACAAATAAGAACGTCCTTCACCGTTCTGCTCAATTGTCTCACACATGCTTATACAATGCCCTGTGTATTATTGTCATTAAAAAAACATTCACACCGCATGTGGTTTAGAACACGACAAATTCTTTGAACGTGTTGCAAACGCATTCCGCTGGATTCAAGGTTATCCACAAGGTTAAAACGCAAAAGAGATTAAATTTCCCAGAAGAGAGTGATTTTTGAAAATATCATATACATTACGTATAGTGTAGAATTAATTAAAGGTTCAAGGAGCAACGGGAGAACAAAAACGATACACAAATAAACAAAATATTGTACGACCACGAACGATTGCAAGGAGAAATTCTCGAAAGTCGAGGCCCAACAGGAAGGGATCGACAGTGGGCAGATCCGAAACTGTCCTTCGTTTTTTTGCACGACCTTCCAGGTATCGAATGCGACCCTTCGTTTCTTTCTCGAAGAATTCCTGCTCCGTAACCGATCCATGGAAATCTTCGTATTCGCGAAAGCGACATAGCTTCCTTTCAAAAATTGAAAACAAAGTAAAAGGTAAACACAGAAGTTTCGCCAAACGGAGTACACGGCTCCGAAACTTACGCGCATTGACGTGAAACAGAATGCGAATTAACACGACACACTTCACTCTCTAATCTCGCAAAGATCAAGGATACAACCTTTCCCGGTGAAACTGTGGGGGGTTCCCAAAGCGATTCCTCCGTCGTGGCGGAAGGAAGCCTCAAAGGAGCAAGGACTTTCGTGCGTGACTCTCTTTTTTTCTACCATCGAAATGGACCACGGGATCTCCCGTGTGAAAAGTCCCACGTGACCTATCGACCTTTGCGCGCGTAAACTTTCATGAATCATGAACAAATTCGAAACCCGATCGGGAGCGTCCGCAGGCTCTATTTGTACCCTGACCATCGAATGGTTATCGTACGAAATCTCTTTGGTTTCGTTAGGATCGAATGGGCACGGTGCGAGTGGCGGAACGCGTGCCAGCCGTTCGATCGTTCGGATAAAAGCAAACGACAAGCTGTGCGATCGATTCGTGGAACTGACGACAAATTCCAGTACGTACCTTTTCTCCGTGTGTACGAAACTTATCCAAAAAACGACCAAACGTACGCGGGAATCCGCCAACACTGTGCAAACACTTCCCAAGCACACAGAATCCACCAAAAATGTACACTCGGTCCTCGTCCCTGTTTTACGCTGCTCTTATTTGCAAGATTTAATAAACACACGCGCACACGACGAACGAACGGAGAAACGCACGCGCTTCGGCTTCGTTGGAGCGGTAGCGTGTCGCGCGAACCGTACCGAAGTCTGCGCCAATGCGTTTGCGGCTTTGAACACCGAGCGGTTCTTCATCTTCATCCCCACCCCGAGCAAACATTCGCCGTGTTTCTTCGCCTTTCCCCCACCCCGATCACCGGGAGTCAAGCTGACCGCCTATCGGAGAACCTCCAAGCAGCTACCACCATCTGTAAAAATATGGACACGTTAGGTCCACGATCCGTTCGATCGGAACGATCATTTTCCACCTCGAATTTTGTGTCCCTCCACCGGTAATTTGGGAGAATAATAACCCACAGATGCTGTGTAGAGATGAGCGTTGCATTCCTATTCTGCTGTAACCAAAACCGTAGGTAGTGACGCCACAGACGAGGTACACCTTGGAGAAATTTTTTGGTGAAAAAAAAATTATTCTCGGTTGCGGGGGTCAATTACAATCATTTTTGGTCAACAGACATACCCTCGAAATCCTAACCAGTTTCGAGAAAAAAATTCAACGAGTGGATAAATTTTTCGACAAAATTAAAACATTTCAAATCGTTCTAAAAAAATTATTCTCGGTTGCGGGGATCAATTACAGTAATTTTTTATCAATACACATACCCTCGAAATGTTACGCATTTTCGAGAAAAAAATTCTTTCCCGAAAATATAATGTGTGTTCGTTTGTGTTAGCTGTTGGTAATGTTGCGAGTGACACGAAAATGGTAATGGGGCCCTAAAACCTCAAAAAAATGGGCCGAAAAAATACATTGGTTGTAAGGTCTACTTGTGTACCTCGTCTATGATTTAATTGCAATATCTGTTTCAACGATTAGTTGTAAATTTGTAGGAAAACTTCATGTACCAGTCGATGGTATTTCTGTATCAGTAATTGTTGATATTCACTTTTGTACCACGCCTACGCCAATGGTTGCTGTTCACGGAGCGAACATAACCTTTTAGTCAAACATTATTCTTTACAGATTTTAATATAAATGTAAATATACAATGGCTGAAACAGAAATACTTAATAATGTCATATCCACAGTTGAAAATAATACTAAAAAGCCGGAAGATTTTTTAAGGTGAGTACTGTTTTTTCCTGTTTTTCTATTCTAACCTATCCGTGGAACAACAAGAATAATTCATCTCAAATATTTTCAGTTTTTCCACTTGTTTTCGATTAATGTTAAGCAATATTTGTACTTAATTTTCTATTTTATTAACATTACAGCGTGCAGAACCAAGTTGCTGTGGAATTTAAAAATTCTACAAAACGTCTATACGATTTTACAAAAGAACAGTCACAAAGAAACACAAATGCACTGCCAGAGCTAGTGACTGATGGTTTCGACGAAGAGCAGATCTGGCAGCAACTTGAATTGCAAAACGAAAGTGAGCTCATACACTTTTTAACCGGTGTCTCAAAGATTTTAGTCGGGAATAAGAAACTAACAATTCCAATTAGTACAAGCAAACCTGAAATTGTACAAAGCAACGAAGAAAGTACAGAGAGGAAAGAAGAGAGCGTGTCCGAAGATGAAAGGACAAAACAAAAAAGTACTTTGAAGAAGTATAAGGAGAATATGAAGAAGCTTAGAACTAAAACGTCGGTCGTGGACGACAAATTTTTCAAATTACAAGAACTGGACGAATATCTGACAAAGGAGGACAAAAAGGAAACACAGAGCGAGAAGCACGAGCAAGGATCGGACGACGAGTCGGTGGATTTGTTTAACGATTTCTCCGACGACGACAGGAAAACCGGGGAGGAAAAATTAGTGAAATACGCGGATTTCTTCGATAGTCCACAGAGCGAAGACGAAGCGACTAATGCTCCCACGCAGCATAAGAATATCGATAATAATGAAACGAACGAAGAAATGCTACGCGATAGCGATTCTGATGATGCAATGGACACGGACAACGAATCGGAAGATCGCAATTCTTCGAAGAAGAAGGTTACGTTCAATCTCACGAACGATTCCGACGAAACGGACAGTTTAGAGAATAAGATCACCAACACTAAAAACACAGAAAAAAGCCAGTCTTCCCTCGAAACTCGCCAGGAACGATTACATAGAAGAATTAAAGAATTAGAGGAAGAAGCACTGGCAGAGAAACCGTGGCAACTTAAGGGCGAAGTAAGCGCCACTAGCAGACCACAAAATTCGTTGTTGCAAGAATTCGTCGAATTTGATATTACAACCAGACCTGCTCCTGTCATCACTGAACAGACCACATTTAAGTTAGAGGATATAATTAAACGAAGAATAAAGGATAAAGCCTGGGACGACGTCGAGAAGAAATATAAACCGGTCGAAACTCCGCTAGAGTATAAGAAGAAACTGATTCTGGATCAGGAGAAGAGCAAACAAAGTTTGTCTCAAATTTATGAGAACGAGTATCTGAAACAAAAACAAGCATTGAATCCGGATAACGACGAAAAGGAGGAAGAAGAACCGAAATTGCATGTAGAAATTAAGGAAATGATGCATGCTGTATTCTCTAAATTGGACGCATTGTCCAACTTCCATTACACTCCGAAACCGGTAAGATATCGTTAAAAGAATTAGTATTTTTGTGAATAATTATATCTTAGTTACGAAACATTTAGCCATCGTTCGATTTTAAAATACTTCGAGGCCGGTGAAATCGATTGTGCAGTCGATAAATCGTATAATTACCAGATTTGTTATATTTTTTACAACTTTTGTGTATTTGTTTCAGGCTAATCCGGAGATTAAGATTATTAGCAATATTCCTGCAATTAATATGGAAGAAGTGGCTCCAGTAGGAACCAGCGACGCTACTTTGTTAGCGCCTGAAGAGGTTAAGGGTATGTATTTGTTGTGCATAATAAAACTAAGATGATGCAATTATCTAATTTGTTTCTTTTGCAGCGAAATCGCGAGGCGATCCTATTGGCCAATCAGAGAGAACGAAAACTGACATGAAACGGGAACGAAGACGCAAGAAGATGAGACAACGCGCGCGACAGGAAGTAATGGAGAAGAAGGAGAAACTGCACGCGATGAAGCCCGGAATCGAAAAGAAATATAAGAAACAAAAGGCCGCGGAATTAGCGAAGAAACTGAGCCACAGCCGAAACATCATAAAAATGGACGAAACGACACAAAAGGTTTCGAAATCGTCTACCGCGTTCTTCAATCAATTGCAGGACCAAGTGAAAAGCCACATTAAATCGAAGACCGGCACAGAGACGAAGAAGAAACAGAAAAATGCTCTGTCCGCGGTGAAATTGAAGTTGTAGATTTTGTATAAAATTTTTTAAACGCAAATTACTATGTTGTACAGTTTCATGTTTAATTTTATACAGTTAAAATCCAACTACGTACAATTTATCGAATGTATTATTTTTACCGTTGAATAAAAATTTTATTTCGCATGCGTAAAGCAATAATTACGAGTGGAAAAATGAAATACAAAGGATCTGGTAAGTTTTCCGTTTCTCCATTTTATATTACCAATTGTTTCGAAATTTGTACAACTTATATATTTATTCAATATAATTAGGGCACCGATGGGATCCATAAATAGGAGCTCCATTTTGTTCAAGTGCTATATTCTTTCTTTTCTTTTCTTCTAAATCATTGCATTGCAATATATATTTTAAGTAACTATGTCTTCGCGCAATATTAAGTTTTGGGCGAACGTTACGTTTTCTAGAGGCAACGACAAAGGAAAATAATCGTAAACAATAGAGGATGAAGGATTTTAAAATACGTCATAGATATTGTTTGAAATTTAATGAATCATTTGCGTATACATATTGATGCCTTTAACGACTTCAATATGTTAATTATTGTCAGAGCAATGGCATTGAAACTACTTTCGACATAGGATGATTAAAAAGAATTATACGTGTAATGTATATTTTATATATTAGTAAAAAATGTTCCCAATTCGTCATGATATGCTGCAATTTTTTGTTTGTTCGATCTTGCTTATAAGAATTTGCTAAACATGTACAAATGCGCTAAATCACACGTGGTTACTTATAAATGCAATTATTCGTATGTGTAACATTATCTATATTTTCTTTAGGAATATCTAAAAATGGTGTCTTGCACAGAGAAGCAAAGTGGATTACATAATTTTTGTACATCGTCGAGTTTCAAACAATTCTTTTTTTTTTTCCTTTCCGTTTAGTGTTGATGTTTATGATTGCACTGTTTATAATTACAAGGATCTAAATTAAAATAATTAAGCTAATCTTAGGAATCTAACGATAAGCTGGTATTAAAATTACCGTGATTTTCTGTAGATTCGATTGAGAAGTTTCTTCAACTGAAACGAGGGCATTTATTACGCGAGATATGTGGAATATTTAAAACGATACAAGAAAAGAAAAAAAAATAATATTCCTACGGTTGTTGAACTTTGATGATAAATATATTAATATAGAAAGAGATGTTTATCCTCGTTCTTCTACATTAAAATGTATCTTTTCTCGTCGTTTTCTGGTTTACAACACGCCTCTGGTTTGGAAAACACTGACTTAAAGCGATTAGAATGAAACTTCTCGCAAAGGAAGTTACGCCCGGGATTCCCCGGAGAGTTTCGTTCCCAAAAGTTAACGATTCTTTTTACACGGACATGCAGCGAAAGTTGCATTGTCCGCGTGTAAAAACCCTCAACTCGTCGGAAGGAAACACAGTGGATCTCCCGGGTCTTAGGTCTATGAAGTTAGGTCGTCCTAACCTCAACGTCAATTCGGATAAAGTTTACACGTGAGGTGCTAAATTGCGAACTTTAGTATCAATTGAATGCCGAAGTAAAAGTGCTGATTATGATGCTCGGGATAATCCCGAGGCTGTACCAATGATTTGTACCGTAAAGCATCCATACGGTAGACGTTCGTCGGCGATGCTATTTCTTTATCGCTACTCGAAATTAGTATTAAACATATTTAACTCCTCGAAACCAGATGCTCCACCCTGATCCTGCAACATCTGTAACATGTCCGAGAGTTCCTGGGGTTGCGTGCCAGGCCCACCTTGAGCAGGATGAGGTGGTTGCGCTTGTCCGGTCACCTGAGGATTTGATTGTCCGCCATCTTGCTGAGGCGTTTGGTGTTGCTGACCTTGCCACCCCCACATACCTGAACAATACAATCACGTGCATACGAGTAAGAATTTTTATTTGCGAGGTTGTATTAAAATATATGAAGCATTCAAGAGTCACACTCACCAGGATTATTAGGCACTGTTGTGACTGCATGGTACTGAGTAGCCGGTGTCCTAGCGCCGCTACTTAGTTGAGTATAAGTTGGCCCACTTGGCGACCTCGATGGACTTAATTGACTGTACTGATACCCTTCTGTCACTGGTTGCTGAAACAAAAGATAAATATTAAGTTGCCGCGATCAGGGCTAGACGTTGACTGTCAACGCGAACTCACCTGTCTTCCAATGGTCCACGCTTGTTGGACTGGAGTTGGAGACGTGTTGGCTGGCTTTTGAATTCTACTTAAAACCGAAGAAGACGCACTCTGCTGGCCAGGCGAACCGTACGCTATGGGCGACTGCGTTGTTTCGTATCCCTGATAAACGTTTTGTGTACTGGACGGCCTAGGCTGTTGGGGTCCTAACAAAGAAATCACGTAGATCTGTTAAGATCCATTAACGTAGACTCGAATAAACTAAATGTGTAGCATCTATCAACCCTTCCAGACTGGGTCTTTTTATTTGATACATTTAAAGGCACTAAAAAACCATCTATGTTCGTGCTACCTCTGGGTCAGAAAGGGCTAACGTTGCAGTCGATATTGATGCAATTGATCTATTACCAGCTGTGGCTACAGTTGCTGGATGCTGCATCATATGATGCCCCGAATACAGAGGATCCCTGGCAGGATGTCTCTGAAGGGAATAGTCCAAGCCAGGTTGGCCATAAGCAGGTACGGCTTCAGTTTCTGTTTGGCCATCGCTGCCAGGATGGAACGATCTAAAATAATGGAGACCTCTTAATTCGCTTCTTGGGCCTAATGGCGATCGAGGAACAACACCGAACGAACGAAATAAAATATCGTACTTTGCATGCGTGTTTGTGCAGACGATGTATTCAACTTCGTCGTTGAATGGGTTTAAAAATGCAAATGCAGACGTCCTTAACCATACCCAGTCGCGATTTTTGGCTCGAAATCTGTACATCACGGACACCACTTGTCCTTTCAGCGTCAGCACTGCCGGGGAAACGGTATTCATTAAACGACAATGAACGCGTGAACAATCCACGTACACGACTCGGGACACTTTACCTTGCTCGAAACTTTCTCGCATGTGCGTTAAATCCTCCGGGTGAAAGAATTCGTAGCACGGATGACCTAAGAGTTCCGAGGGCGTATATCCTAGAATCCCCCCGACTCTTTGGTCCACGAAGGTAAATTTACCTTCCGCGGAATGACGCGAAATAAATTCTGCAAATAATTGTTTTTCATCGTGAAAGATTGTGATTTTTTTTCAACACGACTTGTCGTTTGTATTGTTTAGGGATGACAAGCTGCTCACCATTATTGCTATTGGAACCTGCTAAATCACTACTATTTGGTGTGCTAGTGACCTGTAGTCGTCCAATGGCGACCAAGCAGCAATTATTGCCGGCATTTTCATCTGCAACTACACCATCGGGTCTAGTTTGAACATTACTCCTGTCACCTAGACCCACACCTGGTACACATGGGGGAACAAAATCACCTACAGCGTAAAACTCTGAATCAGTCTAAGATTCCTCATAACTGTCAGCTTGATTATAATTTGCATGCTGTTATATACAATAGTATATTTACTTACAAAATGTATCAGAGTTAGTCTACTTAAGCTGGATAGAACTTGGAGGACATTTTAACAGTATTATTCGTTTCGCGTTAAGGTACCGTTTTCTATCCAGCCTAGTAAGAAAAAAGTATGAACTATAACATACTCTAATCACTAAATCTTAGCTACGAAGCTAGACAATCCCTGTTTTAATTAAAACACAGCGAGGCCGGCGGTCGAATACTTCCTTCTCACATTGACTGCGACTGACCACTAAATCTCACAAAACAACTATGGGGAATGTAAGACCAAAAACAGAAAATAAAGAAACTTAGGAGAATCGAACCTTCTTAGACCAACGTATTACATAAAAAAAATTATTATGTAAGCGTTACATTTGAAAACAAGCGGAAAAATTTCTCAAAGATCAGAGATCGTTTTAAACATTACTAGTATTTTTGCCAAGTCAAAATTCAAAATACATTGTAGACGTTAGAGGCATAAATAATATACAAAATGGCGTTAATTATTTTATGACTTTTTCTACGACCAAATAAGGTAGCAAAAGTGCAGAAAAACTGAAGAAAAGTAAGGGGGTTCCCAGTGTTGAGAGCAACGCGAAAACGTACGAAAAAATCCCCGCGATTCCTCGTCGCGAACCGATCCCCTTATTATGCATCGAGGGCCACGATAAAGCATACAAATTCCGCGTCAGCCCATCCCGACATAGTTATCGGTATTCCGGCCCGTCTGTCGGCTGTTAGGTCAAGACGATTCCATTCATTCTTATAAACCGATATCCGTCCTGCCGTTCGGTTCAAACCGTCTCTTAATTTATAGTACAAACACCGACTATCCCCGTATTCTACGAAGTCGGTTAGGTTCGTTCATATTCCTACGGCGCGACGTCTCCCTCGCTTTAAAATAGAAAGTTGGCGCTACGTCGCGGTCGACCGTTATGTCGACGATTAACGACGAAATATCGAAACCTGTATGAAACTCACCGGCGGGGGCCCAGTTCTTGATGTACCCTGTACAATGAACCACCGCGTAATTTTGACCGTCCCTGGCCGGGGGACCCAAGGAATTCCTCTGTTTCATACGGTGGAGGCCGTGCGCGGCGGCCATGTCACCCGTCGTTTGGAGATTTCCGACCTTCATGCGGCAGATGAACCCTCTCCTCGAACCCATGCACATCCTCATCGACGCTGCGGGGCAAACGCGTTCCTCATTGATCCTTCGCGTTACATAACTAGTGTGGCGTTCCACAATTTATAGCTCTAACCTATTATATAAGTTACATCATGGGGTAATACATCACCCATTACGGAGACTATCGCATAACCTATTACAGACTCCGGGTGGTCTAGGTTTGTACAAACGAATCTAGTCTCTTCAGTAACCTTTCTCAGTTTTTGGGAGGATCAGATTGGGAACATCTGGTGTCTAGGTGGTGTAGATCATAGGTCCAAGGACGAGGACTTTGAATATACTAGTTTAGATTTGTCTTTGGGAGTGTTCTTAATCTTGGTTAAGTTTTGAAGGATCTACTCACAACTAAATAGTTTAGGTACAATTGGTGTCTAGATAATCTAGATTATAGGTTCAGGGATGAGGATATTGAGTATAATCCCTGTAGAATTAATGTTCTTAATCTTCGTCAGTATTGGGAGGATGAACTCTTTGACTTTGACTATACCCCTTTGACAATATGAAATGTATGAGTATCTTAACAACTGCTCAGGATAATAACCTCAACAACCTGCTATCGTCAGTCGAGAAGACAAAGCAAATAGCAAGTGATCCATAAGCAACGTAGACTCACTATCAGTTAAGACCCCCTACAGTACTTAAGCATTAATCCTCATTCTCTATAACGATTGTGGTAAGTCGACACGGATTTGACGTGGAAGCTTGGTCCACTTACATTGGCCTTCTTTTTTCACTGTCCCCGTCTTAAGATCCAGCACCCTGCCTCCATGTTGCGGTTCCTCGGCGCTCAATTGTTCCCTCACCTTCTCGGTGTCATCGGGATGAACCTGCGAGTAGAGGCTGGTGCCGTACCAATCGCTTTGCGTGTAATTTAGTACCGGGGCGACGGAGTCGGAGACGTAGATGATCCTCCCGGTGTCGCAGCTCACGACGAACAGGAACCCGTCGGCTGCCTCCAGGATCAGGTGCTTCAGCTCTTGGTCGGTGAGGAACGAAGGTTTGTACGCACTGTCCGTGGCCGTATTTCCGGTACCTGAGACAGACGTTATCCAAAAAGCGTTAATTCCATTCGTTAACGAATTTAACTGTTCAAGGACAGTCGTTTTTCGATTCTCAAATTAGGGATCGGTCGGGGGATCGACAGAGATTAATTTCTGACCAATTATCGGCACGCAATCGAATTACAGAGCGCCCCAAAAGCATCGATAATGCAACGGTGGTATTGATTTTCAGTTACCGGTGGGATTCGCTTTTTCCCTAATGAAGGTGTCCCGATTCCTCCGCACAGATTGCCCTCTTTATATCACGTTTGATGTAAATGGCCTCTATCGATCGCGAGATCTGACTGGCTGGTCGACATCGAGTGCACGTGCAACGAGGAACACTTTTCAAACGAAACGAATGCTTGTCGGAGGAAACGTGCAAGTACCTTTGTACGTGTCGAAGTCCGTTCGCTGTTTCAACGAGTACAACTTTTTTTATCTCTCTTGTAGTAGATTAAGGAAACGAAACATGATTATCGTGGGAAAATTGACTAACTAGAACCAGAGGGAAATGCAATCTTTTACGCTACCACCAGTTGGGCTCTCAGCGATTTAAATTCTGTTAGGGATTTCTGAGTGCAAGCTAGGTCTGGGTTAGGTAAATGTTCATAAGAGATCTGAGAACTTTGAGGGGTCTGATAAATTTTGAATGAAAACCTGTAGTTTCGGTAAACTTCTAACCATAATCACAGTTTGCTAGGACCACCAGATTAATATGTGTGCTAGTCTGAAAGACAACGCTAGTCCACATCAGAAGCAACAGATGTCCCGGGCGGAGGGCGCATTCATATCTCGAGATCTCGGTCCGCAGCCATCGCTGAACTATGATTTACGTCGCTACTAAAAGTAATAGTGTATATACATCCAGATTAAAAGCGTGCTAAGACTGCCGGCGGGCCGGTATCGCAGATAGAGCCACGTCTCTCTCGCCGAGGAGGAAACCGACCGAATCGCGGCATTAATGTCCATCGAAGAGGTTCTCTACGTGGAAGGTAATGGTAACGAAGGTCACCTGGGGTCTTCCATAGATCTTGTTTGGAAGTCGTTAAAGTACCTCTTCCCGGAATTTCTCCGTATATCGGGGTAAAGATCGCATCGCGAGCCGCTCTCTCTCTCTCCCGCCTCGCGGGATCCTGTCCGCTTTGCAATTCCGATCTTGCACCTCGATAGTTACCTACGCTGCCGAGCTGCCCCGTCCTCATTTTTGGTACCGAGTACTCTCCTTCCCTCTCTCCTCCCCCGCCACATTACTTTGAACCTTGTCTGATATATGGGAAGAGATCATGCACGGGGCCTAAAACCGATGTTATTTCGATTCACCCTGATGGACGTGGAAGGCTAATGATCCATAGTGGACGGGTCATTGGTAGATACGGTCTACATGGTCAAATGGCAATTGCGTGAATTAATTTTTGAGATATTATCAATGCGTGATACGTGTTCAGAGGTTCAGGAACCTTTCGTAATGCATAGCAACATGTTAGGTAGTTCATAGTGGGTGGTCATCATCGTATACAACAGTTTTGTCTATTACTCAAAATCGATAGACGACGTGTCTCAGGTATTCAAGGAGGACATATAAGGTGAATATTCCGTAGTGACGGGGAACTATGGTGGCATATAAACTAGCTATTGCCTAAAATCGATGGGCAGTACGACGCCACCCACATGCAAATGTGGACTTCCGTCGTTCAAGCTCTCCAAGACCACCTTCTTGGTTGTTTTCGTACCGAATGGAAAATTACGTTTCTCACCGGGTGTGTTCTAATACTAGTTAGATCTAATTATAGATCTGGAAAAGCTTAAAAGTCAACCATCGAGTTTGAGACGTTCTTTAGACCGACTCATAGAAGCGTGGAACATCGATTCCAGGATTCCCTTATTCCCTCGTCGCGAGTCCATCAAGATGGAAAGTAGCAAAGTGCAAGGGAAGGTGGGAAGGAAATGTAAAAGACAAACGCGGTTAAAATCAGCGGCTGACGCGTCTCACGGGTGCAACGAGGATGAGGGTGGTGCGTGTACGCGCAAACGAGCGTCGACATATCCCGGAGGCGATAGCCTCTTCTCCCGGTCAGGTAAGAGAGTGGCTCTCTCGTTCGAGCAATTTGTATTCAGCGGCCCTCTTGTCGGGAAAGAGGAGAAGCGGCTATAAACAATGCGACGCACCACCAATACTTAGCTGGAATCACGGCACGCACACCGTTCCAGAGGGCGGGGAGGGGAGATTGTATAATGCGTGTGTGCACGCAGCACAGGGACCCGGGGCTAAAGGGACAGCCGACGGAGCAACTCCACCCATTCTTACACCGGAAGCATATATCGCGCTTTCTGCATTCGATATGACCACCGTACGACGAAACCTTCGGTGAATTACGACCGTTCCGGTGCACACTGGCCGGATGAATCCTCCTCGGAGACTGACAAGAAGCGGCTGCGTCTGGGGACACTTGCGATTACGTCTAGCCTAACCAGATGTTGGACAATACAACCTTATTCCTTCGCTGGTCCACGTCGTTTTCTGACTATTACATCTCACAAATCGACATTATTCGACCAGACGTTCCGTATTAGACGTTCTCCACTGATAGGCTCTACCTATCTTCGACAATTTCTTTTGGAATATTTCGACATTCCTTCGCGAGTCCAGGTGATTTTCTAGAGATTACACAGGATGTATTAAAAATTACTATGACGGAGACTCTGTTTTATACCTTTTTCTCTTGACAGACCCTAAGTAACGTTCAGAAAATAACCCTCTGCGAGCCCAGGTCACTGACTAGACGTTTGGTGTGACGCATTGACAATTTTTATTTACCGAAGTACATAAATTTTATTTAAACATCGTGAACCCCGGACGATTTTCTATTTTAAGTCGTTCAGCCAATTTCTGAACATTGGACAAGACACATCGAGAGTCTACGTGTTGTTTTAGCGATAGAGTACGCAAACGCTGAACAACATCGTTAGAGGAGCATTCCTCCGCGAGTCCAGGTCATGTCCTGGACGTTAGACGTGACGTATTGAAAATTGTTGAAGTATAGTCTTCGCGTTAGACGTTTTTCCACCAGCAGACTACACAGATCCCAGATAACACCGTTCGGAGAATATTCATCGCGAATCCAGGTCACTGTCTAGACGTTTGGTGTGACGCATTGACAATTTTTATTTATCGACGTAGGCTTCCAGTGCGTATAACGATTGCTATTCTTACGCACACTTATCGTCGATTGTCGAACAAAAATAGCAACGGGGAATGGAGTAATTATGTGCAAAAATTTTCTATCCAAGCTCCAAGCTCCCAAATGGAGTCTTTAAATACGCAATATTACTGAACGCGAGGCAATACATTTCGAACCAGTCCCCGGCTGTCCGATAAAGCACAAAGTAGTTCAACACGGAACGTGACGATTAAGTCCCGGCGATGTTTGAGTTATCCGGCACGAGCAGCAAAATAACTTCGGCAACGCGATCTTTAAGCTATGACTCGAAGCGATTGAATTACGCTCCGTTCATGCTTACTTGATTTCGTGCGACTATAAACGCGTAACTTTGAAAATATCTGGGCTCGATCGGGGGATCGATCGATTCTCCTCGACGCTCGTTGATCGAAATTCACGAAATTTAGTGGCTAACCAAAAACTAATTTTTCGATTCTTTGCCGAACAGAATAACAGATACGCCCTAAGAAATAAAAGTAAATTAATTTTTCTCAATCATAGATCTACCAACCTGCTAAATTGCATTGAAATTGGTGTCACGTGAAAATATTTCCGAAGACTTGGTCTGGTTTATGGAAAACAAATCCTTTGGATGGTTTGATAGCGAGAAACGACTATCCCTTTAAGTTGTGTGCAGATAAACGAAGGTACTCACCTCTGAGGGCCTTCATATGGGCGACCGCCATCCTAAGTATGGTCAATTTGTCTGGTTTCCGCGCCAGTGCTGAACACGTCGGGACCATGTCCGACAATTCGGTGATGTAGGCGGTCATCTTGTTCCTCCGCCGCCGCTCGATCTCGCAATGATTCTCCCTGCTGTAAATCGCAAGAGAAAACCGAGGTAATTGCACAGCTAGAGGAATGGCTTTCTTGCTCGATGGGAAGTCCTTTTTACGTATTTCCGATCTGCGGAGGAAAATATGCGTCCGTGCAAGTTGCGTCCCTTTTAAATGACTTTATCAACATTGTTTCTACAAGTTACAAAACCGTAACTCAAAATTATTTTCATTGACACATTAAAAAAATTATTTCCCCGGTTATTTACACGATCCGCGAACTCGGATCCAGCCGTGCACGCTTTGGGCTGCACCGCGTGGCGCCAAAGAGATTAGCCGCGACGAAAATATGCGCGTTTCGTTTCCATAATAATTCAGAACCGCAGAACACGGAATGCCGCGGCGCGTACATAAGCAGACGAGACCGTATTATGATTTTATGCCTCGAAACGTGTGGGTAATTCGTGGTCGATCGCTAGACGCGGCTTTAAGTACGAGTCATCTTGCCGGGGTAATTGAAGACTGGCAAATACGCGGTGAGGCTCATTTGCGGACCGTAAATTTACGCAAGATCGATGAATCTTCGATTGCAACCCCTCCACAAACTCCATAGAACTCGTACAAACAAAAACTATCGAGCCAAAAGTTTGAAATTGTTTGCCAACTTTCATCAGACTCGAATTTTCTGATAGATTTCTCGCTGGTTTGTTTTTCTCGATAATTATTATTTTTATTTGTCGTCGATCTCGTTGGCACGCTTGACCAAGTTTGAACGACGCAAGAACATGGATGAGAGACCGTCCCACAGGGAGAAATATCTATTTCAACGGACCCACCGGCGAAGCAGGCGTAAAGGAATTTCCATCCAGCGACCGTCATTGATAAGGGTGTTCGTGATCAATGCGGCCAATAAATTCTGAAACGATGCCTCATCGTGAAGGGATATCGGGTGAAACCACAATTTCAGGGCCTCCCTGTTATTACGCTACCAGAGGATAACCGCCTCCAGTAACGGCGCACGTCTCTTTGCTACGACGGTAATTGTCGGCGAGCAATCGTAAATTTAATGGCATTTAATTCCTGATAATTTCGCGAACGAACATCGCGAGCGGACCGCACGCGAGACAGTTTGGAAGTTTTAGCCGGCCGTGATACGCGCGAAATCTTATTTCTTAATCAGCTTAATCGATTATTTCTTAATCTACCGACGATCCTTTCAGGCATTCTGCTCTAAACAGGCCACAACTTGGGTCTGAATTGGAACCATCGTCACCAATTGACTCTGAGGATCGTAATCGTAGAATCTGGGAATTTACAGTGAATTTACATCACGCAAACAAACTTAAACTATATCTGGTATTATTTATACGTCAGAATGAAATTTAAATCTTGAAAATAAAGTCTTCTAAATATAATTCGGTTATACGTAGTATAATTTGGTATCAGAAACGTATGAATTTGTTTGTCTGTTGTATGAGGAATGTTCCAGCAACTACCCATCGCGATTCACCAAGAGGAGAAGCTCCTTTTGTGCCTACCTTCGAGATAAGAGCCTTCATCTCATTTCAAGTCCATCAGAAACTATTACCTCATACTTATTCTGCCTCTAGATCCTCCAACTTTCATTCTGTCCATGTAAATAAGCAGAAAAGTGCACCGAACCTCGAGGAATGCGACCAGACTAAAGTCACAATTTCTATGTTATTTATTACACCAAATGGCCCTTATTTATTTATTTAGTTGCGTAGTTATTTGCAAAAAATTATTTCAAAAAATACTTAAAAATACACATTTTACAGTGGAATGCCCCCTCACTCTCGTTCAGCGAGGGTTGGGAATAATTCTCTATAGATTCGAGATTGTAAAGGGTATTTTACTGGCAAATATCGTTTAGATTAATGTTCCTGGTAATGTCTTGGAGTGAACATTGACCTCTCGTTAAGTTCCGCGACCAGGACATCCACCCTGTCTGAAACGCCGCGACCCCGTTCGAGAAAAATCGTTCTTCGGCTTGCACAGCGCAGAAAAGCGATGCTGAGTGCAGCGTTTAAAGCGTTGTCGAGCTTAGCGTAATTAGTTTTAAGTGTCTCGTAGACCAAAAGTCTTTTCGCTGCGATAGCACGCGCAATCGTTTGGAACTCCGACTTAAATGGTAAAGAAAGAACCGCATACACGTGGTTCCATTTAATATGTATATTTTATTTCAGGAGGCCTTCAAAATGATTATTATTTTCAGCAGCGTCAGGTGAAAATACTTTGAATGTTTCTAAACATTTTGCAAACTTTAATAACTGTTTTAAACATCTGAAATAATATAGACACATCACGCTATATTATTGAAGCACGTTTTCGTTTATTATATTATTTTATTGTTTTCTTCCGTTTCGACTTAAGCTCTACTGAACTCTAGCAACGATTCTCGACGGGGTGAAAATCACCATAATCGAACAGTATCTCTACTTATTTATCATACAGTGTCTACAACTCTTTGCAAAATTCTCTTTCACTTACCGTATCGCGAACTGGCACTGATCACCTGACTCTGAACTCCAGATAGTCACTATTGTGTACACGAAAAATTATTCTGAATATATTCCGACAGTTCGATGCGCTACTGCATTTCCTGGGGGACTAGGCAAGCAAGCTTCTATGGCGATTTTCTTATTTTAGTTCAGCGAGTTTATTATGAATTAAAAAATAAAACTGATGTTAGTGAGATCCATTTGTTTCCATGACCCAATTGATTCAGACTATAGTGCCCTCAATATACAACTAACTCTGAACAGGTGATGATCGAGATACCAATTGTCCACATAAAAAATGACTATTTCGACCACCATACTGTTAAAATTCGATGTTTCAACACATGCCCGATCTAGACCCAGTAGTCTATCATCATTTGTTCATAAAATAGTGTCCATAATTTCATCCAAGATCCTCTTTTTACCTGTCGGAAAATCTCCCATATCACCTAACTCTAGAGACAAGACCTCGATTGTCCACTCAAAAAATTGCTCCAGCATCCCAAGAACAAGGATATTTGAGTCCAACAAATCCCTCTAATCTTCAGTTGCTAGACGGAGTCTCTGCAAATGTAGATTTTAGAATATAAAATGAGGAAGCCATCTATCTGATCAATAAATGATATTCCAGGAATCGAATGCATTGGAGTCTCAAGGGCTTGTAAATTGAGTAGAGGAGTTTCATCGAGGATATTCAGTAGATGCCGACCGTCAGGACCTTCCATTTCGTTGCGAGCCCAGAGGAATCGGTAACGTTCCTCGAGGACGCAAGCCCCAGCTCAGGCCCGCTATTTAAAAGAGGCCAGGGCGCTTAAAGCGCAAGTATAAAGCAGGGTATGTACCGTGCAGGACGGTAGAAGAACACGAGGAGAAAGGGTCAGAAGAGGAACGCGGCCCAAGGAGCAGGACGGAGAGAACTCCTGGGTCAAGGGTCAGACGTTCCGAAGTTGCCCGCTCGCTCCGTGGGTCCAGCGGACGCTATACAGGGTGGTCGCATTCGACACGACACACATACCCCACGGAATACTTTTCCGTGTCCAAAATAGACGCCAGACGCGAATGGACTGACGGTTCGCGAAGGGATATTTACTGGAGTCAATGGGTACAAGAAATGTTCAGAAACTGAACTGTGAAGACAACATTAAGTTTCTCAATCTAAATTTGGAGATAGCCATTGAGCAATTGACTTACTGAATTAATATCAGGGAACTACGAGAGCTTGGAGTCAGTCCTAACGAATATTGCAAAGACATATTTAAATAAAAAAGAAATGGTTCGCAGTCTCGAAGACCTCGAACCAAATCCAGATCTTATAGCTATACTCGTTGAAGCAGTGATTGAAACTGATAGCCCACATCCAAGGCTGGCCATGACATTAACGAACAAAAAGAATATTTCTTTGTTCCCGCTGCATTCATAAGCTGACTAATGATATCATAAAACCGATCTAGATTCTTAACAATGGCGAAAAAAATGTCGGAACCTAGACCGTACCACTCATAGGAGCTCTAACTGAAACTGATAGTCCGCGTGCAAGGTTGAACACGACATTAACGAACAAAAGGAATATTTATACCGACTGTACTCATAAATTTCCGACTGATAATCTTATCGTGAACGTGTCATTAAAAAGTATTCGATTACACTTTTCTGATGATCTTATTTTAACGGTAATGGCGTCAGCAGATAAACTGGCGTCGGATAAAAAAATATCTTTATCGAGTAAAACTCTGACAAAGCAAGCTGGTATTGTTCCAGAGCACCCTGTATATCGATCTCTGCATTACGATGATACAAAGTCGGCGCTGAAGTACACGTACCGCGCACATAAAATCATTCTAAGGAGTGGGAGGGGGGTTCCCCGGCACATAGAGGAAAAGAAGATTCGCGAAGGAGATCGCGGTCGAGTCGTCATCATCATCATCATTGTCGTCGTCGATACGCTCGGCGCTGCAAGACGATACCCATAAATGACAACGTCCCGCGCGTGAATTATGGATTCGTCTAACGACAGGGCAAACCTATACCAGAGAGCTGGAGAAATTGCCTCTGGATGGAATTCAGATCCAACGACTTGGAAAAGATCAGTCCACACGAACAGAGAACACCATACAGTTGATATTACACTTTTATTTCGCAAATACTGAGTTTTTCTTTCGAGTTAAATTTTTGTGAAAACATTTGTTATCATTTATCGCATTTTTTGAGGTTATGACGTGTCTATGGACATCATACACTGTCTCAAAACTTTGATGCCAAAAAATGAAATCAAAAAGTCCTTTACCATTTTGCTGTGCGAGACTCCGTTCTCGAGGTACGAGCATTCAAAGTTTACTAACGTTACTCCTGGCAGGCGCCATTTTGTACCTCGATCAGCTGACGCGACGACGCATGCGTGCACTCGCGCGTAGAAACTTTAACTGTTCATATCTCGAGAACGACGTCTCGGATTGCAAAATAGCAAAGGACTTTTCGTTTTGTTTTTTCACGTAGAATTTACGTGTCTATTCGTTCGATCATATTGAAGCGTTCTGTATATTAAAATCTATACAATTTCAGCACTCGTAATACTTCTATCATTTATAATACTCGTCTTATTGAAGACTCTTCTGATAGATTGCAGAATTGGAGACATTTCTCGTAGATTAAAATTGCATAAACTGATGATTAATGGCATTACTATCGCGAGACCGTATTTTACGGACGAAAAGACGGATTTCTCTCATATCGTGAGCATCACTCAAGAGCATTCATTATTACAGCACCGTACGGTACGAATGGAGCGGAGTGGCCGTGTCGATAGAACTTATAGACTCTCTCCTCGCGGAACAATGAAATGAATTATGAATCGATCGAGGACCGTTTAATGCGATCGCATTCGTTATCGAATATATTCCGGCCGCGCAACAGAGCGGTGGACGTATGCTAACGAGCATCCCAGCCACCGAGTGATTTATGACAAATCTTAATATTCCCATATGCTAACGGAGACAGATGTTTGGTTTGCGTTACGAAGTGGGACACGACGATTTTTCGTGGTCCGATCGACGGATTTCCGGGGTCTCGTTAAATCTACCCACGTAGTTACGTTATGCGAAATATGTATAGTAGAACCTCGATACTTGCTTGCGAACATAGAGGCCCTCAAATATGGCTGCCGTTAGCGTCTGCCGCCTAGTGGCGTTGAAAGGAAGTTGTTTTAAAGAATGAAATAGCGAATACGGGACTCGTTAAATGTCCCTTAAATCATTTGCAAACGAAGACGTAATCGCAGGTGAAGCTGTTGAGCGTTAGACGATAAATTCTCCCAGTACATTTACTACCGTGCGTAATCGCCCAAGTGTTGCGATCATACGTTTTACGACGTAACCAACGATCTGTAAATTTTCTTTCTGTTAGCTCCAGAATTTATTATTATAAATTCAGGTTTCCTTTTCCTAACCCCACTTTCTAATTTTCCTTTACTTCAATCTTAATGCAGACGACAAAGTAAATACTTTTCTAGGTTACTCAATATGGCTGCCACGCAATCTCTTTCCCGCCTTTTTTCCTAACCTCATTTTACCCTTTTCCTTCTACCTCGTCTAGCAACGTACAAATTTATCAATCTCTCTAACATCTTCAATCTCAAGATCAAACCAGACGATCGCAGGTCGTGAAACTCCGTCGTCTATAAATACGACGGGAGCAATTTAAATGATTTTTCCACCGATCCGGTAAATACAGACGTCGTCGGTGAATAGTCGCGACGTCGAAATTACAATGTCTGCTTCGTGTTTTCAAGAAAAGAAGGGAGAGGGGGGGTTCGAGACAAAAACAGTTCCATCTCGGGTAACCGCCGGCATGCGACGACAATAGCGCGGGAAGAAGCGATTTCGCGGTTTATCGCCGCCGCTGGAACGATTGCGCTGCCAAAAACGACGGGGGCCGGTATTAACGCGGCGCGTTCGCGAGAAGACGCAACGAGAAGCGGGGCGGAGGGACGGAACCAGAAAAAGAAGAACGTACCGAAGAAGACGAGGGAGCGGACGGCGCTGGATAAGAGGGTTGCGCGCCTTGCGGCGGGAGGCAGTAATTGCGTTATTAACTTAAAAGTGAGGTTCCTGGGCGCTCGCGACATCGGAGCTGTTGCGGCTTGCCGACTTTTCCATGAAACCTGTACATACAGTGGGCGGTTTCGTTCGGAGCACGATACTGGCGAACGTACTTCCCAGAAATCGGGGTGAATTTTTAAGGACGGGGAAGAAAATTATTTATTTTAATGGACTTTCCAGGAACGCTTGAAACGATTATATATATTTAAACAATTCTACGTTCTGAAAATATAAGCACTCTGTGCTTCGTATCGTGGGTATCAAACATGTTTGTTATCCTTTGTATTTTTAAAAATATTTCTTGTTCGATATTCTGCTGGTTATGGGGCAGAAGGAGTAGGAGACTTCGTCGAGGAACTTAAAGTTCTCCGAGTCCTAATTAGAGTTTGGAGTTGTGTGCATAAATAAGTGAAGAGTGTCAAGGCCAGGGAGCATGGAAATCCTAAATCTGAAAAATAGCGAGACAGTCACGTCCGCGACTTGAAACCTACGTGCAATTGAACAGGCTGCTTAAAGGAAAACGTCTCAGAAACGTCGCGATAAAGACCGCCATTGTTTCTGGTTTTCTTGCAACATCGACCAGTCTTTGCAACACTTTATCGCGCAGACGATAACAATATGGATCAAATAAGTATCGCGAAGAAACTTTTATCATAGAATCGTACACGCACCGGTTCGCCGCAAGAGCGAAACTGATGAAATCTCGTTTCTCATTATTCCTAAGGTCAATTTTGTGGAAAGCTTTACTCGACGGTTTTCCAACGATCTAAAAGTTTCGTTGCGGTTAACAAGAGGAGAATTCTACCAATAAATAATTTAAACGCACGGATATCAAATGAAAATTTAATGGACATTCGTAATGAAATTCTAGCATGATTTTCCACGGCACAACGATATTACAGTCGAAGCTAAATGCCTGGTATTATCGGTAGACAAAAGACATAGCAATTATGCGTCATTCGTGTTCGAGATACGATCTCAGAAATCCCTGACAGCGTAAACTCGATAAAGATTCCACAACCGTGTGCAAAAGTTCGACTCATGCTCGATTTGCATTAAATCTTGAGGTTTCATGCGTTTGACGTCAACTGATACGCGGTTTCACCAATTGACGATCTAAGCAAACACTATCCATCTTCAACATACACACCAATTTAATTATTCAAACAAACTCAAACCTACTTTTTTAAACTGAGAGATGTATGACACCTTTGGAAAATTAATAAATTTACTAAAAGAAAATTGGGCTTGGGTTATTTGGAATCTACAGAGCCCAACCCAAGTCCATTTTAACAACAGCAAAAAGTATCCAAATTTCTTTCAGAGTATTTCTGCTGTCCCGACAAAGAGAGTCATCACTCCAGGACATCCCCAGCCCGGATCCGTTCGAAGAAACGTCTATAAACGCCAACGAACGGTCGAATAATTCAAATAAAGCTGTTTTCCGCGCCGGAAGGTGATTTGCTTAGACCTGACCCAGATCCAACGGAGCAAACGACACCCGGCCGCCCACAATTTTCAGCAATCGGTTCCCCTAGGTCGTAACATCGCCTCCCGACAATACGTACCCGGCATTGTCTGGCATAATGCGCGTCGCTCGTCGTATTTCATTTCGCGAATCCGCCGTGTCAACACGAGCATCGCGATAGAGGATCAAGATACGATGTCTTCAGCGTAGACGGAGCCAAAGGACGCTGCGCGCGTATAAGTACCTTATGTTCCCACGCTGGAGCAGCCTGGAGGGCTTCCCATTCCGCTATCGACTCACATTGGCGGGTATCATGTAGGTATGTATGTATCTTCGTACTCGCCCGGCTATGTACAGGGTGTACCGGTGGAACATATTGGGATCCCGGGGCTCCGTGATACGAATTAACAATGATGGCTATCGGAAAAGAGACCAGTGGCCTCGGTCCTTCGTCAACCGCGGAAAGAACGACTCGAACCAACCGGCCGTAACTCCGACCACTCGAGACCCCGGGGACTGATTTTTGGGACCAGATAACAGGCCCCGTCCGACATTCGTCGTGAATGATTTTTCAATTATTCTACTGGGTGGCCCGGAATCGTTTCGTTCGGGACTCTCGCCGGACGACTTAGATTGGCCTGTGCTCTGGATCGAACTGCTTTCTTCGCCAAACTATGTCAGCTTGAAATATAGTTTCATTGAACCCCTAATTTCAGGAATTTTTTTTAACACTCTTCTTGAGTTCTGAATTAGTGTAAAATGAAACTATAGTGTAGGTGCTTTTCTTGAGGCTACTGTAGGAGGATTCAAAGATGCCCACTTGAGTTCTGGATCGATACTGTCGGCAATGGCGTGGGATACTCATGTGCGAGATAACCAGTGTAAGTTACTTAATCCTCCATTGTGTTTTTTCAACAATGCATCACAAGGGGGGAGCTTTGAATATTTCTTGGGAGCAATTATAAAATTATGTTGACTTTGTCACGGGTATAGTAAGAAGATCGCTCTCTTTTTGGTATGTTAAAAAAAAGGTTGGGAAGCACTGCCCTATCGCATGAATTTTTCAGTTACTCTACCGAGTGTGAAGAATCGATTCTTCGGAGTACTGCTAAGAGTATTTAAAGATGTCTTCCTGAATTCCAGACCGATACTCTCAGCAGTCGTAGGTCACTGATGTATAATAGAACTAGAAAGTGATCTTTCTACCAGTATACTGTATTTTGTATTTAGATGTAAATTTAATTATTTAAAACGTACTTTTTGATAACATTTGGAACGTTGATATTTTTTGTTGAAATACTTTGCCTCGAACGCATATTTCCCTCAAAGAAATGGACATTTAACCCGTTCACTGACCTCCCTCATTTATCGTAAAACCAAGAGCATGCACAATACACGTCGAGCCTAACACTCACCTCGCAAATCTTTCTTTGTCCTGTACATTCTCGTCCTCCAGCCTTCTATATTTACACCCGCTGGGATCATCTTCGTCGGATCTGGAAAGAAATTACCACTTTTGATCATTCTGCACAGATTAAAACAACGAAATAACAACAAAAGCATCTTAATAATTCACACAATCCATCGGGACAAAATGGTAAAACTCGATTAAAGTTTTCTTCGAAATTTAACATGCACCATTCTCACAAACGATCACTAGAATTTGTTCAGCATCGTTCGTAGTACTGCGATCGTAATTGAACAAAATTCTGTTACGACGATTGATAGCGTTTCGATTGTATTCAGCAGTCAGATTGAAAACATCGGTCAGCTTTTTCTTCTCCGAGCGGCGTCAGCCTGAGAACGGTCGATTGACTCGTTCATCTGTCAGTACGGCCCGATAGATATTCTTCGAACGTCCCGAATAAATGTCGCGTCGCCGATACGCAAAGTGTAATCATTTCCGGATTACCAAACGTGTCGGGGCAGCCGGTACAGAATTGGACGTAGCCTATCCAACTTCCCCAAATCTGGAGCGTCGTGTAACAGTAAGCGGGACAAAGTCTCTCATGCAATATTCACGGCCGACTCTGCTCTATAACTCGAATCGATGCCATCGGGATCGAGACTGTGTACGAACTTGCGTCACAATTTTAACGAACAAATGTCTGCCTACATTAACGGGCCTGATCCTTGACTACTTCCTAAATAAAAACCATCGAGGACACGCACAACCTGTTGCATATCGTACGATATACCATCATTAGGATCCCCGAACCGATGACAATCTGAGAGGGAGGTAGGTGAAAATTGATCTCCCAACTCTTTGGCTTCCCTAGCCTCTACATACCTTATAGTTAGGTGTGAAATACAGTGGTGAAGACAAAATTGTGACAATCTGACAGACAGAAGTTGTGACAACCTGAGAGGTGGTACTATAATTGTTTCAGAGTTCAGAATAAGATAGAAACTTTTCTCAAGGAAATTCGATATCATTATTTATCCCTCCACCTGGTTCGTAAGGCCCCAAAAGTTTATTAAACGTGGGACCAACTTCCATTATCCAAGAAGAAATCGAAATAATAAAAGAGTTCAAGTGAAATAGGTAAATTCACGGAAGACCGAACTCCGATCAGATAAAGGTAATACGTAAGGCCCCAACAGAAAGTCATCTCCCGTCATTGGGTCTGACTCCCCTTCATCATCGTTACGACCGCGGCTGTCACAACTCAATTTCCATCGGGACCAGGAGTTCCTCGGGCGTAGAGAATAATGGGGCCCGAGGAACGAACGAGCGAGAAAGGGGGCACACGATAGAAGGAAGAGCGCCGTAAATCCGTCATTGGCGTCTCGTTACCGGCATGAGTCGTGTTCTCTCCGCCAGGCCGGCGTATTAAGCACGATAGAAAATTATGCTCTCGTTCGGGGCTCGGCGGCGCACATAGAAATCTGGCTGATCGTCAGTCTATTACGCTGCGCGAGCGAGCGAGCGAGCGAGCGAACGCGCGCGCGCTCGCGGGTGATGTACGCCTCTGACCCTGAGCGAAAAAGTAAGGCCCCCTTTCTTCCCAGCCTCCCTTCCTCGCCGTGTCTTTTTCCCTTTCTTTGCTCTGGTGAACGCCACGGCGAGCTACAGCCAGCATCTTGCCCCCACCATGCCCCACCGCGAGCCCCATGGGTCCCATGGGCCCCAGAGGACGAAGTGGGGGTGGTGTAGGGCCCGCAGCGAGTGTATCCGGGTACACCGAGAAGGCTCCGTATCCCTTCTCCCCCTCCACCTTCACTCTGCGCCCCTTTTTCTTTTCCCCTTTTTGCTGCCAGGGCCCGAGTAGACTCCGAGCAGAACGAAGAGGCAGAGGAGAGAGACTACGGGGCCTGGAGACTTATGGAGTACATAATGATGCGGCCCGCGGTATTATGTCGACTTAACAGATACGTACATGCATGCTCGGTGAGCAGAAAACGCGATGTCCCCGAACCTGGGCCCGCTTTGGGCCACCGAAAGTCGGCCGCTTTGAGAAACCGAGAAGACTACGGGGACTTCTGAAAATTTTTAGGCCCTTGACGTCTTTGGGCCCTGCCGACTACCGACACTCGTGGAGCCCTTGCACGACTCTTGGGACTTTTGGGACCCTCGGGACTCTTAAAAATCTTAGAATTCACGGTATCTCGAGACCTTAGCAAATCCGATAACTCTTGAGAAGTTTGGGACTTTTAAGAACTCGTGATGCTTTTGGGACTTTCGAAACTTTTACGAACCTTTTAAAATGGTTGAAACATTCCTACATTTTTGCTATTTTGGAGGACGGTGAAAGCCAGGCTGAGTAATTCGCGTGCAGATTTTGACGCCAGATTACGAATCTCCGTATTCCTGGCGAACATTCGATAATTTGTAGCCACAAAAGCCGTGGGAACCGAGGCTCGATACAGATTTTTTATCTCGTTTATCTGGCCACTAAATCATCGCGGCAGCGACGCTAGGTCTCCGGCGTTACAAACAATGAGTTACGGCGTCGCGCGATCGCCGACTCGTAGTTTCGGTTCATTTCTATTTACGGTTGACGTTAAACGATGATCGATCCCCGGCGAGCAAAGAACGAAGCGAGGAAATCTAATTGCGTATCAAATTGCGTTGTTTAGCCGCGACATGAAATTGTATGCAAATCAACGCTCCTTCGTGACTGGATTGCCTTCCTATGGATTTCATTTTTGTTTACTGTCGCTGAGGCTTGGCATACGATCATTTCGATCATAACTGTGTGTGCATTCTATTTAATAAATCGACGTAATTCGTTTAGAGCATTACCCTGACCGGTTTGAATCGTTCAAACTGGATCAAACCTCTCCAAACCACTCAATACGAAACTTTTAATTACTAGTATCTTCAAAGAAACTCTCAAACAAGATCAAACAATAAGAAACTTGGAACTCCTAGCTTCAGACAATTTCTTAAATCGAAGGAAACAAGTCGTTCAAGCTGGATCAAACATTGACAAATGAAATAATACACACGCGAAGAGGGGCGAGCTGTCTAACAATGCTACCACACATAATTCAAAGTGTTCCTTTGGTGAGCCTGTCCGGATAAATGACGAACAAACAATCGCCATGTTCAATTCAAACGTTTAAGCTTCTTAACGAGCTCGCCAACGCACAAACTTGATCACGCGGAGCAACGTGCAATAAGAACAACAAACAGCTTCGTTAATCCGGCAACAGCACGTTCCTTCGTCGGCCATCATCTCGCGCATAAGGATCGCAATAATGTCTTGATAGAGCCCTCCCTTAGGAGCGTATCGTCGGTCAGTTTTCTTCTATTACTATCCTCATTAATGAGATGCGGCGTTACATACGCTGTAATCAATCTTAACACGCCGCGAATAGCAATCGCTGCGCGGCTGGATACTTTGTCCGAGGCAGCCGACAATTTTGTCCTGTATCGGTCGCTGAATTATTCACTCTCGGATCTAACGTTCGCGCGATCGATTAGTCGAACCCGACGCTTGGCATTGAAATTAACGCTTCTCCATTAAATGAACGAGCGTCGAGATAAATATTATTCGAAAGCTCGCATAGTCATCGAATGACAGCTCCATGACGTTCAATTATCGACGCTACTATGCTCGATCAACAGACTTCAGACGTATAGTTTGTAAGATAGTCAGGTGTTAAACAGTTTTAGAATGTTTGTCTCCGTTTGTTTGTTCGTTTCCAGTAAATGTCAGTATTTACTACTGAGAATATTTAAAACAATATTGTTTGCAACGGTATGAAAACGTTCGAAAAATCTATTATGGGATTATTTAAGTCGACAGAAAAATCATGCAACGCAGGCAGCGTGTAAAGCGTCTGGGAACGGGCTTAGGTAGCGGCTGAGGCACACATTATTCAACCACGTGTGGCGTTTGTAAAAACGCAGCGTAACAGATTTCATCTCGCCAGTTTCGCTCCGGCAACTCGCATGGTCGAGAGTCGAACGATTTATACGAAGCAACACAGTCATTCTGTTCGAGTGACTCGCGCTGATCCAAGTTTGGGGATTACCTAAAGCGTCGAGGATTCCAAAGACAATGCGGACGGTATATCCTGAGATCAAATTGACCTAATCAGACAGAAAGACGGAGAGAAGGGAACGAAAGACGGGGAAAGAGGAGATCTAGGTGATATGGCGCACGGTATCCGGATTATAGTGTCTTTTGGAACAGTTCGAGATTGTTTGAACCCATCAATTTTGGGGTTCTTGGATTATTGGAACTCTTAGGGTACCTTTATGAACTTGGGACTCTCAACCAACTTCAAACTTAAGTTTCTTGATGCTATCAGATCTAACAAATCTTGTGGTTTTTTAAAACAATATTTGTTGAATTCTTGGAGGACTTAAGATTCTGATTACTCCCGGAACACTTGATACTTTTCTGACCTTTCAAATCTTTCAGATTCTCGGGACTGCTTGGGACTCTGTGCCGCAACAGTGGGCAACTCCTGAGGTCAAACCCGTCCAATCAGGCCGAAAGAACCGAAAGAACGGACGGTCAAGCTTCGAACGAACGGAAGGGAGCAAAAAATAGAGAAATAAGAGCCCCACGCGATGTGGTGCGCTGTGTCCAGGTTACGGTGGCGCCTTTTTGCATTTTTCCAGCTCGACTGGAGAGTCACGACTTTGACCCCCCTCTTTCCCCTTTCAGCTCGTTGTCCACGATCGTCCTCGTACATTTACGTTCGCCATTCCTCTGCGTCCACGTGTGTTACACCTAGCTAAGTCTTCCAATGCTCGCGCGTATCTACAGCCTAGCCATGTAGCTTTGGACAGGGCTGATCTATCCGATGTACAGGCCTACGCAGACCAAGTGTCCTGAAAGAGTGATGCCTCTTCCTAACAACTTTCTTCCGACCCTTCCTCCAACGTCCGACAGAAGAAAGGCCGAGGTGATAAGAATAATCCAACAGAGTACCTTGGTGGATGCTGATTCGTATCAAATCCCAACTGTTGGGCTACCAAACACGTATCCTAGCGAGTTACTGTTGGGTTATTAAGACGATCCTTTTAAAAATTCTA